GGGATATGGACCTTATCTGAGCTATAATCTGAGCAACTAAAGAAAAGAGAAAGGTGAGCAATCTAGTAATATAGGGATCCAGAAAGACAGCACAGATGGATTTGTCACTGAGAATCAACACATCCCTCAGGTTCTACTCAGTTTGAACATGGAATTCAAAGAGCAGAGAGAACTCGTGCTTTTGAACATTCTCCTCTGGGCAGATCTGTCAGGAATCTTCTAGGGGTTTTTACTGGTGGTAAAATCTATAACTGATCCCAGCTTGGCTTTTAAATGATAACCAAACACTTCCTGCCTAGTTATTCCTTGAGTACTCGCAAAGATTCCTCTGAGAACACTTCAAATTTCCAAAACTTCCCCAAGGAATACTACCTTGGTGCTGGCCCTAGTAGCTTGGTAGAAGGGTAGATCTGGGCCAGGAAAGTCCATATTCTCCCCTGTCAATCAAGGCTCTCCAGCCCCAGCCCCAGGCTGCCATGAAGGCAAAGCAAAGCAAGAGTTTTCTGGAATTTGTGCTCTTGAGACTTCCACAGTCTCTCTCTAAAAGCTTGTTCTAGCTTCCTCCCTATGCTGAGGACTTAATTTCTAATAATTAGATTCAGATGGAAGATCCAGCATCATAGACACTCTTTGTCTTTGGCCCAAGAGGATGTTATATATTTCATTTGTGTTTGATGGCCAAGGATCAGCTCTTGTCCTGGGAGACATAATGGAATCATTGAGCCAATCTTGCTTCTTCCCCAGGTCCCCTCAAAATCTCCTTATTCTGTAAAATGGGGACAGTAATATCCTGGCTGGGGGTAAGGATCAGATTTAATCTTTGGTATGAGCTCAGAAGAAAGGTCAATCATAGCACCCTCATAATTGTATTTCATAGTGACAAAGTATAAATAGCAATGAATTAAGCACACTCCATTCCTCATGCCTCCTTTTGCACTCTCTCTTTCTCACTCTCTCTCTCTTAAAGTGTTTGGATAAATCACTACAGAGCATCCAAGCCAAATGTCCAAACCACCCACTCTCCTATTCCCAGCAACTGAGTTAAAATGAGACCAGCTGAAATCTGGGCCAAGCACTCCAATGACTTGCGTGTCTGATTATTATTCCATGATATGAAATTCAAAATAAATCAAAAAAGAAAAATTTGCCAGACACTAGCTAATTCCCAAAAAACACATTTTCAACCTCCTTAGTCCATTTACTCATGCAAGCTGAGATATGCCAGCGCTTCTGCCCCCATGTTTAAGGACCCAAAGATGAACCTTAACAGAAGGAATCTCTCTCTCTCTCTCTCTCCCTCTCTCTCTCTCTTTCTCTCTCTCCCTCTCTCTCTTTCTTCTCTTTCTCTCTCCTCTTTTCTCTCCCCCCATTCCTCTCCTCCTCTTCCTCTTATCTCTCTCTTCTCTCCTTTTTTCTCTCTTCTTTCACTCTGTCCTCCTTCTTCTCTTGTCTTCTCTGTCTTTTCTCTGTCTCCTCTCTTCCCTTCCCTCCCCTCTTTTCTTCTTCTTCCTCTCTCTCTGTCTCTCTGTCTCTCTCTCTCTGCATATATATATATGAATAAATATGTACATACATACCTACACATAGCAGAGCCTTATTGAAGTTTTGTATTTAGCTTTAGGTCCCATACCATTAATGAGAGCACCATGTGGAACAGTGAAAAGAGCACTGACTTAGAAAGTCCTAAGATGGAGACAGCACTAGATTCTGGGTTCTAGGTTCTCGTTCCAGTTCTGCTGCCACATAACCTTAGCCCAGTCATGCCTAATGTTCTCTAAAATGGCAGATAGAAGTCTGTTTGGACCATGAGATCACTCAGAGACTTCTCCAGCTCTAACATCCTAATGTTTTTGAGTCAAGTCTAAGAACAAGAGAGGGCGGGTGAAATGAAAGATTTAAAAAAGTGAGAAAAGGTTAGAGACCTAGAACAAACTAACCACTTAGAAATGAGAGAATACTGGGAGATTTTTCAAGAAACCCTCCTTCAGCTTTGAGGACAGAACAAAAGAAAAATGGTATAAATAGAAGAGACAGCTCTTTAGATTAGACAGAAGGTGGAACTTTCTGACCATATGACATGTTAAGGCCAGAAATGAATCCCCCCCCCAAAAAAAAAGGCAGTAAGGTTTAAAGTAGAATTGTTGGAATCTGGATCTCATCATTTAGTTGTCTTCTAGGTGGGACTGTTACAGTAGCTCCCTAATTGGCTTCCCTGCCTCAGTGTCTCCCCTCTATACTCCATCTTCCATGAAGCTGTCAGAATGATGTTCCTAAGCACAGATCTGACTGTGCCACTCCTCATCCCTGCTCTAGAAACTTCAGTAGCACCCTGTTTCTTCTAGGACATTTAAATGTTCAATATTTAAAGCCCTTCAGGACCTGACTCAATCCTACTTTCCCAGATTTAGGTTGCCTATCATTCCCCTTAGCATATTCTATGTCCTAAGCCAACTGCTATTACCTGCTATTTCTTATACATGACATTTCATCTCCTGCCTCCACACCTTTGCATTATTTCTGGAATGCTCTCTGCCCTCACCCATACCTTTGGGAATTCCTAGTTTCTTTCAGGGCTCTTGTGTGAGGTCCTTCCTGATTCCTCCCAGTTGTTGGTGCTTTGCCCTTTCCCTGATATTACTTTTGTACAGATTTTATATTGACTAATTGTGTACACATTGTTTCCCCCTAAGTAGAATAGAAGCTCCTTAAGGAGGTTCTGTCTCGTTTTGGGTTTTATTCCTCCAGCGCCTGGCATGTAATAGACACTTAATGTTGAATTGAGTTGGTTCCAAGTTTAATGGTCTTAACACTGTATGTGGAGATAAAATGAGATTATTAGTACATGAAGCAAGGTCTCTTTATAATTATATGTGGATCCACACACACATAAGATATATAACAGCAGCCTCTCTTGGACAGCCTGGGCCTGTTATTCCAAGCAATTGGCCAAGAAGTTAAATGACTCTGTACATACTCAGCCCCTTCCTCTGTTTGGCCTTCGTGTGCCCCCAGCAGTTAACTTCTCAGCCATACCATGAGTCATCTGATTCATTTAACCTTGAATGACAGCAGAGCATAGGGACTGTTTGGAGATATAAAGTGAACCCTGCAAGGGCCTGCTTAGTATGACTAAAGACTGAAAACAGGCAGAGAGGAGAGGTAAAGAAGCAATGTAGGGATACAGGTCAGGAGGGAGCCCAGTGGAAAGTCCAGTTTTAAACATTTGCTGTTGGAAAGCATAACAAGCAGCAAAGACATGCCTAGAGAACAGAGGGGAGGGAAGTCTGGCTGGGGAGAGAAGAAGAAAGATGAAGATAAATGAGAGGAAAAAAGATAAATGGGGGCAACTGAACAGACAGAAATTGCATGATTTATATGAAACTTGAATATAGCTTCTAATAACTCCAAAAATGCATCTTTAAAAAATAATGTACCTTTCTGTTTTGGAAATAGATTATTTTGTCACCCCTACCCCACTCCCCTCCTTACCCCCAGAAAGTTAGAAGTTAGCTCAATTTGTAGAGGAGAGATAAGGAGATTAAGCTCTAAGACTTCAATGCTTTCTCTTGTTAACAATCTGAATATATGGTCTTTCTGCCTGGGATTGGAAGAGGACTAGCTCTATAAATATGAAAAGGCAATATACTTTATTAGCTGTGTGACCTCATGCAAGGGAACCTCTCAGCATCAGTTTTCTTATCTCTAAAATGGGGATAATATCTTCTCTACCTACTTCACAAGTTTGTTGCAATTAACACTATTGGTAAATCTTAGAGAACTGTACTAATGTGAGTTATTATTAATAATGATTGGGCTGATTAAAAATCTAAATGGGGGTGATAGTAGAGAAAATAAGCATTTATTAAGCACCTACTATGTGCCGGCCATTTGCTTTATAAAATATTATCTCATTTGATCCTCACAACAACCCTGGGAGGTAGGTGTTATTATGATCCCCATTTTACAGTTGAAGAAACGGAGGTAGGCAGAGGTTGACTTAAAAAAAGAAGGGCAGTTGAAAGGAGAACTTCATTGGGAGTAAAAAGATTTAATCTTGGAACCAATTGCTGAAAACTGGGAGACAAAGAAAGGAAAAGACACATGAAAGAGAGAATAATTGTCCGCTGATCTTGTACTTAAGCTCTGGACTTATTGCCATAGTGTTTATTGAATTTTTGTTTCCTATTATGTGGACCTGGCCTTAGATGAATAAAAAGTTCCTTCAACCAATAGGTAGATAATTTATTAAGTACTTAAAATGTACTAGGCAGTGTGTTAAAATAAATGCCAGAAAGCATGACTTTTCCTGCCCTCAAGAAGCATATATTCTAATGGGAGAAGACTATACATAAAAATGGAGCTGGAAGGGGTGGGGAAGGGGGAAAGATGGGGGGAGCAGGCAGAAATGTCCAGGAAGTGATTGGGAAGCCTGGTTCCAGGCAAGTTATGGTGAAATCTCTCCTACCCAATCCCAGAATCCCCAGGGCAGGGTATAAAGTTTTGTTTCATTTTGGGGAGGGTGGGGGAAGTTGATCTGGGGATGATAGAGTGAAGACAGCAGGAAATGATTATAATGTCTAGAATGGCTGTAGTATCTGAAGTCACTAATCTGAGCCATTAGATTGAGGGGCTTCCCCAGCATCCAGGAAGAGTCAGCACAAGCCAGCAGCAGACTTTGGTTTGGGGGAACACTAACACCCTATAAAATGACATCTTGGAAATCCTCTGGAAATTGCACCCATTGGTGGTCAGTTGTAGCAATGCAGGGCCAGGTATAGATTCTTGGCTGCACTCTGTGAGATTGGACCTTTTATAGGAGAACCCTGAATTCTAAACACATTAAAGCTTTACTCTCAGTCATTGGCAGTGTTAGGCCTCACCCTGTAACCCTCTCCTTCCCAACGGTGCTTTACAGTAAATCTTTCCTTCAGGTGGTTGAAAAATGTCCCCAGGCCTAGCTTCTATCTTAACCTCCTGGCCTTTCTCTTTTTGTCCTATAGCTGGGATGAAAGCAGCAGTATCAGCAGTGGGCTCAGCGATGCATCAGACAACCTCAGTTCTGAAGAATTCAATGCCAGCTCCTCACTCAACTCCCTCCCCACCACCCCTACTGCTTCTCGAAGGAACTCGACCGTAGTGGTAAGTGAGTCTGAAAAATGCCAGGCCGGAGTGACTCTAACCCACAGTCCAGGAGGAGCTGAGACCACACAGGCAGTGCCATCTTCCCAGCCCAGGCCTTCCATGGACATACGCATACTAACCCATTTCCTTGGGCCCTGAGCCACATTCCTCAGAGAGCCAGGGAGACCAAATCCACTAAACCTTCCCCTGAACCATCCCATGCGTCTAGAGTTAGAAGTCCCTCCAGCTTTCAGGAGTTCCACGAGTTACAGGGTGATAGACACAAGGCGTCAGGACCAGAATGGGGAAAGAGGCAGCCAAAACCTGTTTATTTAACTGCTGTGTGTTCTACAAGTATCTCAAACGCATTCGCAGCAGAACTCACCAGATTTCTGCCCAAACCCACCCCTTTTCTGAGCCTTTCCCTTCTGCTTTCAAGGAGCCGCCGTCTTCCCAGTTCCCCAGGTTTGAAATCTCCATGTCCTCCGTCACTCTTCCTTCCCCCTCATTCTCCACATCCAATTAGTTGTAAAATCTTGTTGTTTCTCTCTCCATAGTATCTCCCATACTCATCCCCTTCTCTCCTCTCACACAGCCATCACCCTAGTTCAGGTGCTTATCGCCTCTCCGCTGGACCAATGCAGTGGCCTCTTAATCAGTCTTACTTCCTCACATCTCTCCCCATGCCAAACCATCCTCTATGCAGCTGCCAAGTCACTTTCCTAAAGCGTAGTTTTGTTTTGTTTTTTGGTAAGGCCATTGGGGTTAAGTGACTTGCCCAGGGTAACACAGCTAGTGAGTGTTATGTGTCTGAGGCCGGATTTGAACTCATGTCCTCACTCCAGGGCCGGTGGTCTAACCATTGTGCCACCGAGCTGCCCTAAAGCATAATTTTTAACATGTCATCCCTCTACTGTGGGTTCCCTGATACAGCCAGAGTCAAAGTCTTTCATGACCTGGCCAATATTCTTACACATTACTCCCCTCCTCTCACTCTACAATTCAGCTTTACTGACCTCCCAGCTGTTCCTCACACACAGCATTGTATCTCTTCCCTCTAGCCTTTGCCCTGGCTCTCCCACATGCCTGGAATGCCCTTTCTCCCCACCTCTACTTTTTGAAATCCTTGGCTTCCATCAGGACTCAAATCAAATGATACGTGCTGCAAGAGACCTTTCCCAGCCCCACCCTCTCATGCGCCAGTGCTAGTGCCTTCTCTATGCTTACCTTCTGTGTACTCTGTGTAGATCTTGTATGTACATGGATGTATGTGTATAGGTGTGTCTATACATGGGGTATTCCAGATATGTACATAGATAGATATTGGATTGTCGGAAAAGCAAAAATAGTCTTTGCCATAAATGAATTTATAGTCTAATGGAGGAGACAACATATATATATATATATATATATATATATATATGATATATACACATATGTGCATATAGATATAAATATGTAGATCTGTAGATATACTGATAGATAGATATAGAATGTTCCAAAAGTCTTGGCACAATTTTAAACTCTTAAAGCTTAAAATTTTTAAGCTCTTTACTTTTTGGGGACACCCTGTATATATACATAGATATTTCCACACCTATATACATATGTATATATCAGACATATGTTGCCTCTCACATTAGACCATAAACTGCTTTAGGGCTTTTCCTTTGTATTCTTCGTTCTTAGTATAGTAACTGACAAATATGAAATCCTTAACAAATGTCTGTCAATTGATTACAATCATCCCTTCACCTCTAAATCTGGCAAGTAGTCCAGGCAAGGCCTCACTCTCTCCACCTCCTTTCTCCACCCTAGTTACGCACAGACTCAGAAAAGCGCTCACTGGTGGAAAGTGGGCTAAGCTGGTTCAGCGAGTCAGAGGAAAAGGGCCCGAAGAAACTGGAATACGATAGTGGCAGCCTTAAGATGGAGCCCGGGACCTCCAAGTGGAGGCGAGAACGGCCAGAGAGCTGTGACGAGACTTCCAAGGGTGGAGAGCTAAAGAAGCCTGTCAGCCTGGGTCCCCCGGGATCCCTGAAGAAGGGCAAGACCCCCCCAGTGGCTGTCACTTCACCCATCACCCACACAGCCCAGAGCGCCCTCAAAGTAGCAGGTGAGCCTAGGCAATGTGTGTGAGCAATTTTCATTGAGGATGGGTGGGGAGGGAGGAAGGGAGAGAATTTGAAACCCAAAGTTTTAAAAACAAATGTTAAAAATTGCTTTTACATGCAACTGGGAAAAAAGATATACAGGCAATGGGGTATAGAAATCTATCCTGCCCTACAGGAAAACAGAATGGGAAGGGGATAAGAAGGGGTGGGGGGGTGATAGAAGGGAGGGCAGATTAGGGGAAGGGGTATTCAGAACGCACACTGTCTTGGGGTGGGGGGAGGGGCGAGAAGGGGAGAAAATTTGGAACTCAAAATCTTGTGGAAGTGAATGTTGAAAACTAAAAATAAATTAATTAATAAAAAATAAAATTAAAAAAAAAAAGATAAAGAACGTGTGTGGGCAAAATAGGGCTATTCCAGCTCAGAATCTTCTTCACCTTTGCTCCTGACACCAGCCCCTGGGATGCTTCCATAAGCTTCCCAGTGTTTCCTTTGGGAATCCCTTTACTCTTCTTAGACTCCGGGACAAATTGCCACACAATCCCAGAGATGTTGACATACAAGGAGAGGGTTATCGCCAAGGTAGCTGAATCAAGAAAGTTTTGTTGTTTGTAAATATTCCAGCCAGCCCCACGGATATCTTTTAGCCTTTATCAATATCTTCCCTCAGGTCTATTGTTGCCAATTGTTTTCTTCATGCCCAAGACTCTCCTCGTTATTATTATCATTATCATTATTATTATCATTATTTTGCTTTCCCAGAATTCTTGTTGGGTTTAGTCCCTTCTTGGCCCTCTTGTGAGGAAACCCATCCATCCTAGCTATTAGAGATGTTCCTGCTATGAAAGCAGGGTACCTAGACCCTTGAAGTCTTTCCAAAACAATCCCCTAGGTGCTCCTAGGAGATTTCTCAAGCTTTCCTCCTTTGGCTGAGTCTTCCTTAACATATCTGGTGCCTGTTCAAATGTGACTGGCTTCCCCAAATTCTGGGTCTGTAGCAATTTGACCAGAGTCCCTTAGACCTGCACAAAGGAACTGCAAGGAGCTCAAAGAAAGGTGTTAGTCTCATTCCCTAGACCTGACCTCCTCCCCACTCTCTCACAGGCAAGCCTGAGGGGAAGGCCTCGGACAAAGGCAAACTCTCAGTGAAGAATACGGGGCTGCAGCGCTCCTCCTCAGACGCTGGCCGGGACCGCCTCGCGGATGCCAAGAAGCCCCCCTCGGGCATTGCCCGACCCTCCACCTCAGGCTCCTTTGGCTACAAGAAGCCTCCCCCAGCCACAGGCACGGCCACTGTCATGCAGGCAGGCAGCTCAGCCACCCTAAGCAAGATCCAGAAGTCATCGGGCATCCCCGTCAAGCCAGCGAATGGGCGTAAGACCAGCCTGGATGCCTCCAACAGCACCGAGCCCGGATTCATGGCTCCCGGGGCCCGCACCAACATCCAGTATCGCAGTCTGCCCCGACCAGCAAAGTCCAGCTCCATGAGTGTGACAGGCAGGGGTGGACCCCGTCCTGTGAGCAGCAGCATTGATCCTAGTCTCCTCAGCACCAAACAAGGTGGCCTGTCGACCTCGAGGCTGAAGGAGCCTTCGAAGGTCGCTGGGGGTCGGACTACACCAGCCCCAGTAAACCAGACGGACCGGGAAAAGGAGAAAGCCAAGGCCAAGGCAGTGGCCTTGGACCCAGACAATGTGTCCTTGAAGAGCATCGGCTCACCAGAGAGCACCCCTAAGAATCAAGGGAGCCACCCGCCAGCCACCAAGATTGCAGAGCTGCCCCCAACCCCGCTCAGGTACCAGCATTCCTCTGCTCTCCTCCTCTCCCCTCCTCTTCTCTTCTTTTCTCTCCTCATAGCCCTGTAATGGTAACCGATCACATTGGCATAGCAGTACTTAAAGGTTTTTTACAAAGTATTTTTCTCACAACCCTATGAGAATTAGCTCAAGTATTATTATTTTTATTTTTAAATCATTAGATTATTTTAAAATAGATTTTTATTAATCTTTTTTTATCACCTTGATTTTCCCCTCTATCTCTACCCCACCCTCTCCCAGAGAACCATCCTTTTACAACAAAGAAATTGTTTTGTTTGTTTGTTTGTTTGTTTGTTTTAAAAGAAAGAAAAAGAGGAAGGGGGGAAATCATTAAAAACCAATCAGCAGATAAAAAAAAACAAACAACTAATGTTAAATTCAATACTCCATACCCATGAACCCCAGCCTCTGAAAAGGAACAGGGGGGATTGTCTTCTCATCTCTCATCTTTGGGACCAAACTTGTTTTTTTATAATTTAGTGCAAATATTATCAACCCCATTTATAGATGAGAAAGTTGAGGGATGGAGAAATTAAATGACTTGTCCAGGGTTAGAGCCAGGAATCAAACCCAGTTCTCCCGATGCTAAGTCCAGTATTTTCTTAGCCACAGCAGGCTGTTCCCCATAATACATGACTTATGCTATATTAATGTGCAGAGTTCTTTACAAAAGGGTTTATTTCTTCCTCTGTGTATGTGCTCTTTTTCCTTTGACTATCAGGGCCTATGTCTCCTCCTTCCAGTACTTCCCAACAGCACTCAGTAGTAGGTTGCCCGCAGAAAGGGACCTTTAGTAAATGATGTTTTCTCAACTTGATTTCCCTCAGGGCCACATCCAAGAGCTTTGTCAAGCCTCCCTCTTTGGCCAACTTGGACAAGGTCAATTCCAACAGTCTGGACCTACCATCCTCCAGTGAAGTCCATGCCCCCAAGATCCCAGATCTGCATCCCACAGGCTCAGCAGCGGGTGGTCCCCTCCCCACTTGCTTCACTCCCAGTCCGGCACCAATCCTCAATATTAACTCAGCCAGCTTCTCTCAGGGCCTGGAGCTTATGAGCGGCTTCAATGTCCCCAAGGAACCCCGCATGTACCCCAAGCTCTCTGGCTTGCACAGGAGTATGGAGTCGCTCCAGATGCCAATGAGCCTGCCCAGTGCCTTCCCCAGCAGTACCCCTGCCCCCACCACACCTGTACCCCCTGCTGCACCCCCAGAAGAAGAGGCAGGGGAGCTGACCTGGAGTGGGAGCCCAAGAGCTGGGCAGTTGGAAAGGTAAGAAAAATGACGAGGGGAACTGTCTGCCTGGCCCTGGCCCTGGCCCTTGCTCCTACCTGCTAATTTAATGTAGCTGACTGATCCTTCTCACCATCACCATCCCCCTCCTACCCCTACCCCCACTCCCTTTATTACTCTAGTTTCCAAAGAAGTACCTAACCTAAGCCTTGCTTCCTAATCCGAGTAGAGTGTTTAGCTTTCCCAAGAGTAAAAAGACCCTCCAGGAAAATCATCCATGACATTCTCTGGGGCTTTTTCTCTTCTCTTTTTGTTTATGGAAATAAAGTAGTTCATTGTTCTATGAGGTCTGGATGCTCTGTAAGCCTCCAGGGCCTTGCTGAATTACCTCCAGTGAATCTCTCAGTCCCCTAGTCACAAATGCTATCTTCTGAGTTAACACACACGAAGCACTTTGCATCCTTTCCAGTCACATATCATCCATGCACGTCTTCTCCTTCTTAGACTGCAACACCTGATGTTTGGATCTCCCTTAGCATCTACCCTAGTGTTATGCACACTGTAAGTGCTAAATGAATGTTTGTTACATGAAATGGAACTGATTTGAACATATATGACATTCTCCTCTTTCATTCCTACAGTAATCAACGAGATCGGAACACACTTCCCAAGAAGGGGCTCAGGTAATCCTAGACACACTTTTCTCTTTTCTTCTCCTATAGCCTCTTTGCCTTCATTCCTAACATTTCCTTCCATTCACCCACCTCCACATGCTAGTTTAGTGACCCATTGCCTGGCCTACATGATTTATGAGTCAGCCCTATATGAATTATACTTTCCTGGTAAGAGGAAAAAACATGTTTCTGCAGGAGAAACAGTGATTTGCATATAGTGGGTGACTAATAAATGTTGATTAAGTTGAATTGAGACAATAAACACACCCCTTTCACCTATGCCATCTGACTTTATTCTGGGAAAATTGCATCTCCTTCTCCCCAGACCCCAGGATAACATTCAACTATCTGGTATAATTCAGATGGCCTCAAAAGGGCATCTTACTTGGCCAAATCCATGGAAGGCTTTCTGGTGAGCCAGTGGTTATGGCCTGAGAGTTATCTAGTTTGAGGTGGCATGGTTTGGGGGGAAAGATACTGAACCTGGAAATGAGAAACATGAACCTCGGTTTCCTCTTCCACAAAATGAGAATAATAACACTTCTACTAACTAACCTCTTAGGTTGTCTTGAGGAAAGGGGCTTTGTAAACAAGGAAGGAAGGAAGGGAAGGAGGAAGGGAAGGAAGGAGGGAGAGAGAGGAAGGGAGGAAATAAGTATTAAGTGCCTACTATGTACTAGGCCAGTGGTGGGGAACCTGCAACCTCGAGACCACATGCAGCCCTTGAGGTCCTCAAGTGCGGCCCTTTGACGAATCCAAATTTCATAGAACAAATCCCTTTAATAAAAGGATTTGTTCTGTAAAACTAGCCAGATCCTTTAGTAAAAGGATTTGTTCTGGAAAACTTGGATTCAATCAAAAGGCTGCACTTGAAGACCTAGAGGGCCACATGTGACCTCAAGGCCGCAGGTTCCCCACCCCTGTACTAGGCACTGTGCTAAGTATTTTGCAAATAAATCATTTGATTCCCACAACCACACTAAGAAACAGGTACTTTTATTGTCTCTATTTTACAGTTGAGAAAACTGAGGCAAACAGGTTAAGTGACTTGCCCAAAGTCACACAGCTAGTGTCTAAAGCTAGATTTGAACTCAGATCTTCCTGACTCCCAGTCCAGTGCTCTATCCACTGTGCCATTTAGTTACAGAACCTAATATGTGACCCCTAGTGAAATGTTCTTGGTTCTACCTTCTAATGCTACTTAAAAATGAGTGATATTGTTCCTATGATCATAGTCAAATGGCATGTTCTACATGCAACCATGTGGCCCCAACATGACATATAATGAAAAGGTCTTAGAATCAAAAGATGAGTTCAAGTCCTTGGTCTGGAACTTCCTAGTTGTGTGAATGAGGGCAAGTCATTTAATCTCTCAGTTTCCTCATCTGTAAAATGGGGATAATAAGGGGCAGCTAAGTGGCACAGTGGATAGAACTCTGGCCTTGGAGTCAGGAGGACCTGAGTTCAAATCCAGTCTCAAACACTTGACACTTACTAGCTGTGTGACCCTGGGCAAGTCATTTAACCTAGATTGCCTCACCAAAAAGCAAAAAAAAAAAAAAAAAAATGGGGATAATAGTAGCACCTCCCTCACAGGGTTGTTGTAAGAATCAAATGAGTTACCATTTGTAAAGCCCTGAACAAACTTTAAGGTATTGTATAAATGCTAGTTATTGTTACTAATTAGCCCTCCTGCAGGCTGATGGTGATTCTGGGCCTCCATCTGCGCCCTGTTGTAGGGAATAGAGAACTGGACTAGGAGTAAGAAAGGTCAAGATTCGGATTTTACCTCGGACACCATACAGCTCATCTATAAAACAAGAGGGTTGGGGCTAGATGACCTCTGAGTGCCTTTCTAGCTCTAAATTCATGATCCGTGATCCCTTTGGCAGACTGGGGCTGTTACCACTACCCATCCCCTTGTGCTCACCTTCTGAAGCCAGATCAGCTCAGGCCTCCCTTCCCCTGGTCTCATCCAAAGCCCTGGCACCATTTACACCCTGGCTGCTTCTTCCAGGTATCAACTACAGTCCCAAGAGGAGACCAAGGAGCGGCGGCACTCCCATACCATTGGGGGGCTGCCAGAGTCAGATGACCAGTCAGATCTGCCTTCGCCACCTGCCCTCTCCATGTCTTTGGGTGGAAAGGGCCAGCTCACCAACATAGGTCAGTGCTTTGCTTTTCTTTCTTTCTTTTTTGGTCAACTTATTATTGCATAGGAGGAAGCAAGGACCATCCTTTAGGGCAGGAAAGCCAGCCTCTTGGTTTTCCAACTCTGATTCAATTCATTGAGTGATGCATTAGGGATGATGGTAGTAGGGTGTTTTATGGTGCTGCTGTTTCTCTGTCCCAAACACAATTCAATGGATATTGGCAAACTGCTTTGGAATCCTAAATTAGAAAGGTGCCCAATTGACACTTGGTATTCTAAGTCTTGCCTGGGACCAACATCATGGTGGGGGTACTGAGCCCCAAAAGAGGGTGTTCTCCTGTGTCCCTGCTGGCATCACAACCAAGAAACAAGTGCCCCAATCTCTTTGTCCTACCAAGCCTGGCCAGAAGCAGGGCAGCGAAGTCTTCATGAAGGTAAGGAGAAGGCAGGGTGAAGGAAAAGCTTTGAGTTTAAAGGAGAGGATCTGCCCCCAAGCACCAGGAAAACACCACACCCAGTTCCTCAGCCTTACCAGCTGCTGGCTCTGGATGAAGGCCACCCTACCCTCAGGCAGGGTGCTGCCTAGGACTTGTTCTGCCCTTGGTCCCACCCAGTCTTTTCTTGCCTTGGTGCTCTGGGCAGGGGAAGCCAGGATATGACTTTGGTGCTCAAAGGGAAGAAGGGAAGGAACAGCAGCAGCTGAGCACCACCAGGCCGGGCTCAACAGGGCATGGGGCCAGGTTGTCAGGGCCGTGTGTGGTGACTGTCTGGAAACCATTCTGGAAACCATTGGCAAGAACGATAAAGGTCTGAGGGAAGGGTCCCAGGCTATGTAACACAACACTAAGAATCTGCCACCAGTGAAATTGTGCGGGATTGGAGGTCAGCATAGCACAGCACAGAAAAGACTGGAATGCTGAGAAAGGAAGGTGGTTAGGTATCAATCTTCAGATCAATAAGGGTTATTATGCAAAGGATAGGGACCAGCTGTTCCTTATCCCCACAGAGGACCAAGCAAGAAGAAATAGATTTATAGTTCCTGCTTAGCTACTGAGGTTAAACAGGACCAGGGGGGAAAGAGTTGTAAGAAATGAGAGAGGAAGGATGAAAAACCTTCATCTAAAGAGATCTTTCAATTAGACATCGATCATTTGGCGAGCACCTATCATATACCAGGCACTGTCCCAAATACAAAGACAAAAATAAAATAGTCCCTCTTCTCTAGGAGGTTACACTGGAGAGAAACGGATGCATATGTAGCTAATAAATCCAAGATAATGGGTAGGGAGGGGCAAGCCAAGGCATCAGGAAAGGCCTCGTGGAGAAGATAGCGCTTGAGCTGAGTTTTTGAAGAAAACTAGGGATTCTGGAAGGCAGAGGGAAGGAGTGAGGGCATTCCCAGCATGGGAAGCAGCCTTTGCAAAGGCACAGAGATGGTAGGTAGTGTCATGTGTGAGGAACAGTAGGAAGGCCAGTCTGGTTGTACCATAGCGTGTGTGAAAGGGATTGGTATAATAATAAAGCTGAAAAAATAGATTAGAGCCAGGTTGGGAAGAGTTTTAAATGCCAAATAAAAAAGTTTGTATTTGGCCTAGAGGTAATTGGAGTCTATTGACTTGGTCAGATTTGTGCTTTAGGAAAATCACTTTTGGCAGCTATGTGGAAATTGGATTGGAGAAGGGAGAGGCTTGAGGCAAAAAATACACTTAGGAAGCTATTGCAGTGGTCTGGGGGAGAAGTGATTAGGGCCTGAATTAGAGTGGGGAAATGGGGAAGATGTGAGAGATGTTGTGGATATGGAATTGATAAGACTGAGCAGCTGAGTGGCTGAGAATGAGGAGTTGAAGATAGAGGAATGGATTTCCCTGATCATCGTGACTCTAGACGGGAGCCTGATTGCACACCAGATATGAAGGAGGCTTTGACCAATACATCTCTGACCCAATTTGATCATCTACCTCCAAGCCAGGGGAACTCTGGGTACCCTAATACTGACCCCAGTAGTAGAGGAACACAACTCCACTATGTCCACAATTTGAGGAAGAGACTTTGCTCCCTTTGAAAATACTAAACCCCTACATCCCATAGCTCCACCCACCTCCTCTAGCCTTCCCTATAATTCAAATCCCTTTCTTGGTCTTTGTATTTTTGGTAGTGGGGTCTTAGATCCTTCTAAGCTGTCAGGTATCAAAGTAATGACATCACTCCCATTTTCCTGGATTAATCCATGTTGCTAGGAGGTACTCCCATAATGGCTGCTCTCTAAAAGAGTGAAAGGGTCCAGGGTGGGGGTCCTTAGAATCAGCAACCATCTTTGCTCCCTCTCTCCAGATTGCAGTCCTATTCCATTGAGACCCAGCCTCACCATCCCAAATTCCCAATTGCACGCACATTCCCACTGGCCCATTTTCCCCCTCCCTCCCCTTGCTCCAGTCCTTCCCTTCTTGCCAGATGTCTCCCACACACCTGCTGCTCCTTCCCCCAAGGGACTGGAGTGCTCATGACCCTGCCTCTTCTCCCTGCCCTCCCCCTCCCTTCCCTCTATCCTTCCAGTGAGTCCCACTGCAGCCTCCACGCCAAGAATCACCCGCTCCAACAGCATCCCCACCCACGAGGCGGCCTTCGAGCTATACAGCACCTCCCAAATGGGAAGCACCCTGTCCCTGGCCGAGAGACCCAAGGGGATGATTCGGTCAGGATCCTTCCGAGACCCCACGGACGATGGTGAGACTTCATGCATCGCGGTTCACGCTCATTCCAGCTCAGCTGGGGATTCCTCTCACCCACCACTTCCACCACCACCTCCACCCCCACTACCTTCTCCTCCTCCTCCTCCTCCTCCTCCTCCTCCTCCACCACCACCACCACCACCACCACCACCACCACCACCAAATACACAATCCCAAAAACATCAAGTTGGGGCCATTTAGTTCTCTCCCCTCACGAAGCCCTGGTGGCCCCAGAGACCTCAGGACATCACTTCTAAGCACTGGGACATTGGGACTGAGCATCAGCCATTGGGGAAGGGGAAGGGAAATTAAGCATGGAAGAGTTAAGTGGGACCAAGCAGCAAGGGATCTTTCCCAATGATCTCCCAGAATATACACCAATTATAAAGTAACATGGTAGGAACTTACCTTAGCTAGAACAAGGCACCAGTTTGTCCCTCTCACACTAATGTTTCCAGGCTTAGATTTAAAGAGGGGTGTATGGTCTTATCTGTGAGGGTTGGAGCTGAAAGGTCAAAAAATTCTCGGGGGTCTGGCTCTCCCATTATTATTCACTTCCAGGATTCCCATTCCAAGAGACATTCCTTAGAGATTTCCTTTGGTTCTTGCAATAGGAGCTTTTTCTTTCCCCTGAATGGATCAGAGTGAATGTTCTTCACAAGATTCTTTCATCTGGCTAATCCCCAGGATTCTATGGAATGCCCTAGAAGTGGGGGAGAGGGGACAGACCAGACTACAGGATTGCCTCTGACCAGCTCTTATAGGAAACTCACCCTCCTCTCCAGCTCCACAGCTTTTCAGATAGGGAAGACTCATACCTTCCCATGAAATCCTCCTCTCCCTCTCTCCCTTACAGTCAAGTGCCCCTTGGACCAGGCTGAACAAGGGGCTAACACCCTCACAAGGTGGATTTTGGAAAGAGAGGTTGTCTTTTCACAGGACCTTGTCTTCTCAGCCAAGATCAGGGACCAGCTTTTGAACAGTTGTGATGCCAGTCGTATCCCCTGCCCTGTTTCCTCTCCGTTGACTCTTGATGCCATCCAGAGTCCAAGTTCCTTTTCCTGGAAGCTTCTGTTAATTTTTGTATTCTGTTTCTCTCTTTCAGTTCATGGCTCTGTGCTGTCGTTGGCTTCCAGTGCCTCCTCCACCTACTCTTCAGTAAGAGCATTGAGTTGTCCTTCCACATCTCCCAACCTTGCATTATTCTATTCTATCTCTTCCCAGAAGCCCTTCATTTAGGGGTGACTTAGGAGGAGGGAAGAATTGCTTTCTCTTCATGTATCTTGTCATGTGGGTTTCTGGATGGGGAAGAAGGCTAAGACTTCATAGCAATCAATCATGGACCAGAATTCCTGGATCCTTGTTTCTGCCACCCTGGGCACCCTTGGTGTCTCAGTTTACCTTTCTGTAAAAGAGGGAGAATCCCTTAGGTGTCTAGCTGTATTGTGATAAGGAGAAAAGAATGAGGTGGAGTGGCCTTCCAGGAATCCTAGGTTCTAATAGTCAACAACATTCATGGTATGTTGGCTGTATACTGAGCACAGGGAATTCAGGATTTCCAAGATTCTGAGTTCTTCCCTACAATCCTCTTCCCTCCTCCCTAGAGACCAACAAGGTAGATACTGACCAGCTAAGATGGATAGATGGGAAAGGGACAAGAGGCCTGTGCTTAGGACTTAGAGGACAGAAGAAAAAGAATCCCAGATCATAAATCATCAATAAAAAAGCATTTATTAAATGCTACCATGGTACCAGGCATTGCACAAAGTTTTAATGATACAGAGTGGCTTTGGTGGTGATCTAGTTCAACCTCCTTGAATTACAATTGAGGAAACCAAGGCCCTGAGAGGTTTAAGCATCTACAAGTGTAGTAAGCAACAGGGAGGGGATCAGAATGTAGTTTCTGAGTCTAGCCTTCTTCCCACTCCACTCCTTCCTCCAAGTGAGCTGGTGCCGTTTTTTCAGTCCTTCTGTAAAATAATGAAATAAGTTCAGTGTGGTCTCTAGGGAAATCAGCCCTAATTTAAGTCTAGTGTGTGGGGGTGTGGAGTGGGGTTCTTTGGGAAAGGCACGGATATTAAATGGAATTCCAGTCGCTCCCCATTTCTGTCACACTTCAAGTCTACCCTGCCACTGATGACCCTGCCGCCTCCATTGTAACTGCTTCCTTTCTTTCTCTCCCTCTCTCCACTTCTGTGCTCCCTTCTTCAGGCTGAGGAGAGGATGCAATCTGAGGTAGGGTCCAAAGCCACTCTCCCTGCTTCTTAACACCACAACACCCCCCTTCCCTACCAGACCTTTTGTTTTCCCCCCTACCCATGGTTTCTGTTTGCCAACTTTCTTATAGCAAATCCGGAAACTTCGAAGGGAGCTGGAGTCATCACAGGAGAAAGTGGCCACACTGACATCTCAGCTGTCTGCCAATGTAAGTGTTTTGTTTGAGGGGGAAGAAGAGAGGCAAACAAAGTTTACCACATGTTATCCTTAGCTGGGAAGAAGAGGAGGTGGTACAGGGTCAGTGACTTGGGCTGTCCTCAAAGCTCTAATCTGACTACCAGGGCCAGTCCCTTGACCTCATTAAGCCTCAGTCTTCCCATCTATAAAATGGGAAGACCCATCCTCGTGTCTCCTCCCCACTTTGCCTTACCCAGTATATGTGTTATAAGATTGGATAAAATCATGCTTGCAAACACCTTTGAAATCCCAAAAGAAAAAAAAAAAGTGAGATTTATCATAGAGGCTGTGCCAAGATTGAGGTAGTCATGTCATTTACCTTGGGCTATCATGGCCCTGAAGAAGAGTTTATAAGGCCCTTGAAGTGGGTCACTCCCACTGCCCTAGGGCATATGACATTTTCACCTTGGCACAAGGAGGCAGCCCAGATCTGGGTCATCAGTATTCTCTTTGCTGACCACATCACCACACAGAAACCCAACTCCTTCATGTAGAATTGCCATTTCCTATTAGTTTCCACAAACAGCTAACCAGAATGATCCGAGCTTTAGGCTAGGAAGCCAGAATTCCTGGTTTCTGCTGTCTACCTGCCCTCACTGATACGGTTTAGGATGAGTCATTTCCTTTCTACAGGCCTTGGTTTCCTTTTCTGTATAATGGGAAGAAGTCACCCTATCCAACAAGACTGTGGGAGTATCTCCGCCCTGCCCCTCCTCCAAAAGAATAAACACAGAACATAACAGCCCTACTGTGAATGGGGAGGGTGGGACAGCTATTTTCCCCAAAAACTGTAAACAACAGCTGAGCCGATCTGCAGGAACCATCCAAGTGTTCAAACAAAAGTAACCGTGTCTGCAATTTCCGCAGTGGCTCTGGTTTCTCCTTCCCCTCTGGGGGACCCAGCTGCTGGGCCTGGGGAGCCATCCTTGAACCAAGTACAACAACTCCCACACTCAAAACCAAGCTTGTCCATGTCCCCAGTAAAATCCAAGGGGACCACACTACACTGACCATACTCTTTTCCCCAAACCCGATTCAGGAGGCATTTTTTAAAAAGTGACACCAGCTATGTCAAAAGTTCATCTCAAGTACTCTTTCCCAACCTTGAGGAACCATTAGAATTGAAACATAGCTGGCCAAGGTCCATCTCTTCATCCCCATTCCCCACCAAGTCTTACCCACCAGGGTTGGGGCCTGGGTCATGTCCCAGAGACCCTGGGGAGTTCTTGTCCAGGAGGAGAGAGAGAGAGAGAGAGAGAGAGAGGAGAGAGAGAGAGAGGCAGGCGCCAGGGAGGCAATGAACATTATTATTTCTGATTAATTTACACTACAATCTGCAAACCATCATATTGTCAGGGCTGGAACAGGGCCAAGAAAAGGAATTTGGAAAACAGTTTTCTTAGTACAGGAAGTTCCCTTTGACTTAGAGAACAAACCCTAACACCCCAAAGTGGCATATTCTGCATCTGAGAGAAAGATCTTGTAGAAGTATAGGGCTCTCTCCCTAGCTGCAGAAATGACTTGAGGACCTTAGTCAGGTTTTCCTATATTGCTCCCTCTATATCCCCTGGCTCTCACCCTGGCTTTGTCATTTTTCACACAACTCCTAGGTTGCTGAAGTTTTGAGCACATCCTAGAAACAGAGAGGGAATCTAAACCACTACACCCCTGTCAAATGCCAATGCAGTCCATTCAGCATGGCTACTCAACTCTGAGGTCGTTTTGCAACTTTGGTTGTGAGGGTAGGAAGATCCTATAAGCCAAAGAGAGAAAAACAGTTGGGAGAGAAGCCCAGCTGAGGTGGAGAGAGGTCCTTTACCCCAAAAGAGACTGGGATAATGAAGGAGGCAGAAAGGAAGGTAATTGTCTGTAATGGGCAGGAAATCCTCTGAGGAAGCAGACAGGTGGTCTGTTTACAGAGGAGAGTCAGAGAATGCATTAAAAAAAGAAAAAAGGAACAGCAGATGATGAGGCCAAGATGATGGCAGTTTTCCAGGCAGTAGGAGAAAACAGACAACTCCGGGCCACAGAAGACATCTCTCCACTTGGGAATCCTAGTCCTGGTGGCAAACTTATAATGATAGTGGGAAAGGAACCTGATTGCAGACAGTAAGGTCTAGTCTGTATTTAGGCACAGATGAGAGGGCGTGGGTGCTAGGGGGCAGAAGAATGGGCAAAGGCTAGATTGAGAGCATGGGGCATTGCCTGTAAGTCCCCTGACATAGTGTCTGATCCTGAGGATTTCCCTCTAGAAGAACCCCACTAGTTAGATGTTCACTGTTACTTGCCTAAAGTTTCCAGCTTGGTCTGCTATCCTACATTCTTCATTCCTTCTCCTGCCCTAATTTCTCCCCTCTCCTGTCCTTCAGTGTCTTGTCCCCACCCACTTCAACGCGTCTGCCAGCCAGCCATCCACGGCACAAGCTTAGGGCCAGACCACGTGGGGATCAGCCTTACCGAGAGTCACTTGGTTCATCCAAATCCTTCCCCAAGCCCTTCTCAATAACCTAACCAGGCCCCTCCTCAAAGAGTACACCCGACACCTCGTGGTCAAACTATGTAATGGCCCTTAGATCAGATTAAAACTCTCCCAAACCCTGCATAGAAAACCTTGACTCATTTCCCAAAGTGGAGAGTATAGTTAAAGACCCAAGAATTGGGGGGTAAGCAAGAACCAAATAAGCATGAGCAAAAGTAGAGTATATATATACTATTCCAGCAAACTCCTAGAAAGCTGGGGTTCTAAACCGGGGATCCATAGATAGATTTCAGGGGGTCCATAAACTTGGAAAAGAAAAACATTACATCATTTTCACTAACCTTTGATTTCTTTTGCAAATCTTATGTATTTAATTTCATGCATTTAAAAATATTCTGAGAATGGTTCCATAGGCTTTACTAGACTGACAAAGGGGTCTTTGTAAACAAAAAAGATTAAGAATCCCTTGAGCAAAACCAGTAGAACGTTGTACACAGTAACAGCCACATTGCATGATGACTAACCTTTATAGATTTAGCTCTTCTCAGCAATGCAAGGATCTAAGACATCTCCAAAAGTCTCATGATGGAAAATGCGTTCCATAACCAGAGAAAGAACTATAGAGTTGGAATGCAGATTGAAGCATACTATTTGCTCTTTTTTGTTTTGTTTTGTTTTTTTTCCTCTTACTTGCGGTTCCTCCTATTGTTTCTTTTTTTTTTCCCCTCCTATCGGTTCTAACTCTTCTTTACAACATGACTAATGTAAAAATATGTTTAATAGGAATGTAAATGTAGAGCCTATATCAGATTGCATGCTATCTTGGGGAGAGAGGGACAGAAAATTTAAAACTCTATAGCTTATGGAAGTGATTGTTGAAAACTAAAAATAAATTAATTAATAAAAGCAAAAGATTAAGAATCTCTTCCCTAGAGCATGTTTTAGAGGGTCTACAAATACATTAGGAAAATGTATTTGGCAGGGATGGATAATTTTAAAGGCATTAGTCAATATTGAAGAGTTCCAGAACTGGTTTTATGGCATTCCCCCTACTCCACCTCTACTCCCAAATCTTGGGTCACTTAGAAGCAAGTCTTTGCATTTGTTTTAGGCTAACCTGGTGGCTGCCTTTGAACAGAGCCTGGTGAACATGACATCCCGTCTTCGGCACCTAGCCGAGACAGCAGAAGAAAAGGTAAGAAAGCTGAGAAAAGGAAGGAGCTAGTTTGAAAGGCCTGGGTGGGTGGTGGAACAGAAAAGAGAGGGATTAAGACCAGTCTGTAAAGGCTGACCCTTTTCCCATCTCCCTAGGGTGCTAGAGCTTTCTATTAGGGATGCTACTATCTCTCTGGGAACTTTGCTGGATTCTCAGCCCAGCCCCCTCAGGCACATGCCACAACTGCCCACTTCTCACCTCACCAAACCAGATAGGATTCTCTAGACCTCTAAATAATGGCACCATGTTGGTTTTTCCCTAGGACACAGAGCTGCTGGATTTGCGAGAGACCATAGATTTCCTGAAGAAAAAGAATTCTGAGGCTCAGGCCGTCATCCAAGGAGCTCTTAATGGCACAGACGTCACACCCAAGGGTGAGGTCCTGGGAAACAGATAGAGAGGGGACAAAGAGAGGGGAAAGATACACCCATGCTTCAAACCAGCTGCCAGGTCCCACCCAAAACTGCCAAGGGAGGCTGTCCCTACCTTCCTCCTAGTCACTCTCCAAGCTGGTGTAGTAACCAGTAAGTGAAAGGTAAACTGAGATTTATAATCTGCTATTTACTGCTCAGTGGGAGAAGTGTAAGAAGGCCTGCCATCTTGAGTAAGAGAATAGAGAGAATTTGTGGGTTAGCATCTCCCTGCTAACTTTAACTTAAGGTTCTCTCCTATCCACCCATCCCCACTGCACCCCTTGCAGTTCAAGAACTGAAACATCCATCAGAGGGCTGTAAAAATGATGTCTTTATATAATGCTTTCTAACTTAATATAAGGGGATTTCACATGTTATATTACTTAAACCTCACAACCCTGTGTGATGGGCAAGTAGTAATGCCACCATTTTACCAGTAAGCAACCTAAAGCCCAGAGATGCTAAATGATCTGCCAACATCACAGGATGACTTATTCAGTCAATCGTAAACATTTTATTAAGCACCTACTATATGCCAAGCACATAGTGCTAAGTGATGGAAATATAAAGAGGCAAAACAGTCCCTGCCCTCAAGGAGCTTACAATCTAATTGGGAAGACAACATGCAAACAAATATGTTATTCTTCATTTCATGTCTGTTACATGAGGTTGTCATTGTCATCATCAAATTATTTTGGATGAGACTCTGCCCTAGACTGGGTGTTTTCCCAGAGATCCAGGTCCTGTCCTCAAGGATTTTTTTTTTTTTCATTTTTTCAAAAAAAAAATTTGCCACCTTTTTCTCCATCACTCTCCTCAAAGATTATAATACCCAGGGCAATGTTCCTGGAAAGTTTGTTTGACAAACATATTATTTTTGTCTTATAATTAAAGGTAACTTCAGTTTAATTCTCTTTTGAAACTTTTACCACATCTTGTAGGATATATGAAAACACTCAAGAGTATTATGGGCTTCAAAACTCATGATCTTATTTATTTTCCCCATGACCTAAAAAGTCAAATGGAAAGTCCAAAACTGCATCTTTGATCATTAGAGAGTCAAAGGATGGCTAAACACTGTCTCTTTTTTTCTGAGATATGGCCATAGGACTGGTTGGGTTCTTCTGAAGATGGACTTATTTTAAGGTTATCTTTAAGTCTTCCCTGTCTTCTTCACATCCTCCCTGGACTTGTAGAGCTTCGGATCAAGAGACAGAACTCTTCAGACAGTATTTCCAGCCTCAATAGCATCACCAGCCACTCCAGCATAGGTAGCAGCAAGGACGCTGATGCTAAGAAGAAGAAAAAGAAGAGTTGGGTAAGTGAGGGTGAGGAGGAAGGGACCTATGTAGGACCTGTTCAAACTTCCCTGGGGGATTAGTACTTGTCCCATCCACCCATTCTTGCCCAGATGTGTTATCAGCTAAGTGCAAGGTCTACTAACTTCTTTTCCCTAAACTATCTGTGCTCTAATCAACTGCCATGTCCCTCTGGAACTCTCCTAGCCTGACTAGGCCCACGTGTCCATTCCAATTGGAGGAAGGCTGAGGAGATACACCGAAGACCTTAGATCAACCCCCATTCCCATCAGAACTATGGTGGGGGAAGGGGTCTATAAAGGAAGGGGACAATTGCTCATTCTCTGTAGACCTCTCTAGCTTAACTCTGGAGGATCTTTTCTAGAATGCTTTGGAGAAGGGAGTTTTTATGGCTGGTTCCCTCTCTATTTCAGGCCACCTCTGCAGAAGATTTTCTAGAACTTTTAGCCTAAAGAACACCACTGCATTTATTTTTTCTGATTGTCAGATTTTCAGATCTGCATTTATTTCTCCGATTAGCCCTTGGAAAGTCTTTCTCAAACTCCCCAGGTAGCTTCTGGAACAATCTTGACTCCTTTTAGTGCTTTGTGGCAAGCAGGGGACCCCGCCACCACCACTGGAAATATCCCATCCCTCTCAACCCCTCAGTAAGCCTGGTCCAGGGCTTACAATTCCCCATCCCCAACAGTACCTATACCTTGCAGCTCAGAGAAAGTCCCAGCTGGATGAAATGAGTGATTAAGTGTTGCTTTTTTTTCCCTCTCAAATGCTGACCTCAAACCCCTATTTTTTTCCAGGTCTATGAGGTAAGACTCCACCCCCCCCTTCCACCTTTCCCTTTGCCGTGACTTCCCCATTTCCAGGGCAACTCATTCACCCTGCACCAGATATCCACTGATTAAACTAACCATCACACTCATGCCGTTATTCTTAACTCACCTTTCTGCATGGTCCATCCATAGCTACTCCAAATGAGCATTGAGGAGGTGGTCTGATTGGGGAACTAATAGGAAAGAAAGTTATACACTACCCTGAATCATTCATTCTGCCCCCTCTCATTACAATTCTCCCCCAAGTCTTTCTTGCTGTCTCTCTCTC